AGTGGGAATAAGCAAGGAGCCCTGGAGGGCAGGGGGAATGCCTAGTAGAGGGAAGGGGATGAGCCACCAGCCTGGATTGGCCTGCTGCCCCCCTGCCCCACTGGATCTATCCCACCATCCCCGTCCCTCCCAAATCAGACCTGCCATTCGCTACCTCCCAGTACCCCAGTTCTCCACTCCCCCCTCCTCAGCTTACTTTTGGCTCCCAGGATAACAGGCAGTGAAGATGAAGCTGTGTGCCCAGCCCCTGCTTCTGCCATTGTTTCTGCCACTCTTTGGGTGAGGTGGGGAGCCACATGTAAGCTGAGGGACACAGATGAGCTGTAAGAGCTGGAGAAGAGCCCCAGGGGTGGGGAGGGGGGCATTGAGAGGCAGGAGTGAACCCTGAGTGGCAGGAAGGGAGAGTCCCTGGAGCAGAGGAGGCAGGGGAGAACTCCGAGGGGCAGGGGGTGGGCCAGGAACAAAGGGGAACAGGGAGAGACCTATGGGGCAAGGGGCAGGAAAAAAGCCTGGAAGAGGAAGGAAGGGATTCTTATCATTCTTACCTCAAGGCCTTTGCTGGCTTGAACATGTGGCTGCTCCAAACTTGAGCTAGCACTTCAGAAGAACCTGCGAAGTTTGTAGTTTCATGACATCTAGAGGCCTTTTTAAAAAAAATCATTATGGTTCATTAAAATGTGAGCATGCATATGTGCAAAAACACAGTTAGTTAGCTCTCATAGATGAGTAAGCTATGCTTCTTTATGGAAGTAGTCAATTACCAATGGGATTTAATGAGAAAAAAAGAAATAAAGCTTTTTTTTTAATGCATTTTGCTAGGTGGTGGGAATTTCTGTGCAAGAACAGAATAGCATTATATTCTCTTCAGTTTAAATGTCTTAAATTTCAAAATATCCCACACTTTACAAAGGTCAGAGTTCTTATGACATGCAGGAAGATTAATAGTCTGTTCGTTTGTTTTTTTATTTCATAGATCTAAGGAATGTTTTACATCCCAGTGAAATTATCAGATTTGATTTAAGGTTCTGTCTGACATCTAACCAATCTTTGATTCTAACTAGACTAATCCAGGATATAAGTGAAGATTGTTTCTTGTCAAAGAGATGTTCTTTTTCAGCACTACATATATTTCCATGAAAAAGCTAAGGAGAAAAATGATCAATGAGGTAGAATCATAAGCTCCTACAGAAGTTTTTCTCTTTTCTGGAATAAAGCATTTTGGAAGAACTAAAAAAACAAAGTTCCAAAAAAATGTATTTCATTATCAATCGTAACAATATTTGCTTTGCTTCTGCAAATAATAAGCATAAACATATTTTGTTTTTATCTGATTAATTTATGCCTCGAGTTCTCATTACATTAATTAAAAAACTTAAAACCAATGACGTTTGCTTTTACCAGATATTTCTGTTTTCTAATTTTGATACATAACTAGACATTCCAAAGGCAAACTTTAGATGGACTTTCGTTTTTTCAAATGTTGCCAGAACTTCTCTCACCTTAACTAGAAATTAAAATTAAACTAAGTTCATTTAAAACTTCGGAAAGTTCAAAGCCACATTTTCAAAGGAATTTAGGTACCTGAAGCACAGATACATGTTGTTGGAAATCTCACTAGGAACCTAACAAGGCTAGGGGCCCACCTAGCACTGAATCGCACTAGATGCCTATCTGCAATATTAAGCACCGTATTACCAATAAAAATCTCTCTCACAGTAAAAACTACTCAATAATTTATAGTTAAACATTTATTTAGATAACTTGATGAATTTTCATCATCTTGGCCTTAATTATCTGAAGATGAAAGCATACCACTTTCATAGGCAACCATGAGTTCAGAATCAATATCCTGCTTTCAAATGTGATTTTTGGGCCAGCTTTGTTAAGGTATCAGGATACCTAGCATAATTTTCTAAATTTTCTGAATGACACCATTCAGTTCCATTGATGTTAATGGGAATTAAATGCTTATGAGATTTTGAAAATCCCACTACATACATAAAGCACTTAAAAATATAACTTTTAAGGACTCCTTTGTGCAGTCTATGGTACACATTGGTTACAATGAGCATTTGATTGACACTTTGTAATTTTAATTTCACTTTATGAAGTCAGTTATGCTTGTGCAGTGTGGATGCAAAATGAATGAACTAAAAGTAGAAGTGGAAGAAGTAGAACACAGGAATCCTAATTTCTAGTCATTTGCTATAATTTAGTGTCACGGGAGCACTTGGGTGCCCCGTTCCTGAGTAGAGATTAGAGCAGCTGCCAATCACCAGGGCAGCTCAGCTGTGGGTTGTGGGAGTAACCAGGTTGGCCATGTGACCGGAAGGGGGCAGGGCTGGGCCCCTTATAAACAGCTAGGCCGGAGCCTGGCTGGCAGTTCCCTTCTGGCAGCCTGTGTGTAAGAGCTCT